AAAATGGCGGCCATGCGGTGAGAGTAGGTCACGAGAAACCGGTGCGTTGCCGACCAAAATTGGCCAAAAACGAATCAGTTGGGGCATGGGAAGGTTGAAATCCAAACTCAGGAGTTGATTCTTTGGTGGCACATAATGTTAATTGACCATCATGCCTTTCTTCACAACGAAATTTACTAACAAAATTGTGCTTTGGGTAGTAAAGTTGTATTTTCAAACTTTTTGGGTGGAAAAGTATCATTAGACCATTATTTGGGTAGAAAAAAAAATCGTTTACTCTAAAATATACTAAAAAGTGGTTTCTATAAATTTGAATGACAGTGTGGAATGTAAATTATATGGGTATTTGATACTGTTTGTTATGATTTTGATGAGATGAGAAATGGTATGGAATAAAAACATAAGAGTAATACTAACATTACAAAGAAGCATACAAAGAGCCATATAAAGAGCCAAATTTAGCCTTTGAAATTCATGATTGCCTATTTCTTTCTTTCTTTTTCCCTTCTTTCAAGGGTTGGATTTGACTCTTTGTATGACTCTTTATATGCCTCTTTGTAAAGCTAATATTACTCAAATCATAAATACAAATATAAAAGTGGACCAGTTGAATGGGAACGAGTGTGCTTAAAGCTCTTGCAATCGCATTCATAAAATATTTAGCAAGAAAAGCTAAGTATATACGTGTCTCATGCCATATAAAATTTGAATACATTGTTTCTTTGAGTGGACTACAAGCTAATTGCATCACTCAATACCGGTAATTATTGGGTACACTGTAATGCTCTTCAATATATTTTTTTCATTTTAGTTTATTAAAATGTTCTCAATGATACGTAAATTACAAAGGCGCCACAAGCTCAACTAAATATACAAGGTAGAATTACATTTTCCCACTTTTGGTTTGGAGAAAAGACAATATTGCACCCCTTGTTTAAGAAACCAACAAAGTTCATGTTTCTGTTAACCCCAGAGGGTTGGCCTGGTAGTCAAGAAGGTTTGCTCTCTTCATTGACTTCTTGATTCAAACCACTTAGGACTACTTGTCACATTAACGGTCTGAGAATTAGTTAAAATACGCGTAAGCTGTCCCAAGCACCCCAATTATCCAAAAAAAAAAAAAAACAAAACAAAGTTTTTATCAATAAATTATGGCATTTGCAAACAAGGGGTGTAAAGTGTATCTTTGACAAACATAGGGTCGGAAAAGTAATTAGATTTATATAAAAACGAGTAAACAACATTTTCCCACCCGAGGTTTAGCGAAATGCCAAGTTCCCATCCATGGTTTCATAAATTCTAGATCCTCACCCTTAAATTAACACCGTTTTGTTTCATTTAACAGTCAAAGGATAAAAACGTCGTTTATTACATTTTAATATTTTCATTTACTAAATTCCAAATTCTGATTCCGTGCACTCTCTTTTCCTTCACCGTGGCTCTCTCGCCTTCTCTCTACACTTTCATATAAAGATTTTTTTGTGTAAGGATTGCATGATTCATATAAAATTTAATGTTTTCTTTTGAAAAGGATGGGGTGTTTGCCATAAATGGAACAAAGAGGGAGAGAGAGCCACAGTCGCTTGCCCGCTGGGTGGTTTGTGCGGTTTGGCAATAAAGGGTTGGGGAAAAAAGTCGAGTAGGTGGTGGGCAGGCAATGGTGGGTGGGGTGCAGGTGGCGACCGTCGGGCCTTCCCAATCCAAAAACCAAATCAACACAACAAACACTCCAATAATCAATTAAAATCACAACCCAAACTGCAAAATCAATCAAACTCCGACATCCATAAAAAAACCCAAAAAAATCCAGTCAATTGAGAAATCGGCAACAGTGGGGATGCTGGCAGCGGGGAGTGTGATCGACGGTAGCTACCAAACGTTGAGGAGATGAAGAAGGTCTGGTCTCAATCATTTTTATGTTTTCATTGAGGAGAGATAATTTTCTTGGGGACGGGAAGAAAAAGAAAAAAGGGAAGAGGGAACTAGTGGGGTGTCACGGCCTCATCTTACCGAAGGCACGGTCGGGAACTCATCCCACTCTTAGCTAGCCTGATGGTACTCACCATGCTTCTCAATTGACTATAGCCCTTTGGTCTTGGGTTCGAGTGGTGGGGAAGGCGAAAGAAATCCCTTAAGGGCGGTGGAGATATTCCTTAGAGTCACGAAGAGTGGGATGAGTTCCCAGCCGTGCCTCCGATAAGATGGGGTCGTGACATGGGGAGAGTAGAGAAAAGAGCAACGTGTTTTGGTTGGTTGGGGATGAAGCAATGTTCTCAAAACCAGACCAGACCACCCGGTCGCTATTTTGATTTAAACCGGATTGGACCGCGGTTGGACCGTCGGAATAGTGCTGAATCACGGTCTAATCGCTGCTAAACCCTGCCGGGTTTTGGCATCTTTCGATGGAGAAAACACCCCCATTCGATGGACGGCTTTCGATGGAGAAAACACCCCCATTCGACGGACGGCATCTCCACGACCAAACCCATCCATTTTCAATCACCTTCGTCGATCGCCGTCCACCTAAAGTTTACGTGACGTTGGATTTCTTTTGTTGATTCCGGCGAGTTCCGACGCCGATGGAACGCCTTAGCACCACCATCAGAGTTGTCGGCACCTACACATTAAAAGCCCCAAGATTCCAGCTTCGATTGGCTGTCGATCGTCGTTGCCGCCACCACTCACCAGAATCTTCGCGTGACAGGGGTGTTTTAGATAGATTTCAAACCTTAAGGGAGTATTATAAGGGTGTTTTTGATGAATTTCAAATCTTTAGGGACTAAAAAATTTTTACAAATTACGGTCCAACCGATCGATCTAACCGGTCAAACTAGAAACCGGACCCTTGAACGGGTCATTGTCCGATCCAGTTTTCAGAACATTGGGATGAAGTTCGAAATCGTATTATAAGTGGGAAGATAGTTTAGTAATAACTCTCTTTGAATCTGTATCAGAATCTAGCCTCCGTTAATAATGATAATTTAAGGGTGAGAATCTAGAATTTATGAAACTAATGGTGTGAACTTACCATTTTTCTAAACCTTGGGTGGGAACATGTCATTTACCCTATAAAAGCAAAAGAAGTGAAGCCACATGAATCGAAGTGTTAGAACAGCGAGATATTTCAGAGGCATCACGTGACAGCTTACAGCTAGATTCTGTAATGTAACTGTATATGTAGAAGCTCCGTGAAGGCTTTCAAAATTTGAACCAATTCATTCATAAACCGGGCCTGCCACCTCATTCTATTTCAAATTTAAATCAATCAATAAATGCTATTGTCATTACTTACTGCTATATCTTGATGTGGGCATTTTCATTCTAGACTTTAGACTAATTGTCCCATCTCATCTTTCATACATTAAGCAAACTTACAATAAATAAGCTTTTAATGAATTTTAAACATTCAAGAATCTTGCAATTTGGCAAAATGCCCATAATTAATTTCCTCTCTTTAGCCCCAACATATTGTTTTTAAAAGTGCAATTATTTAATGTCCTACACTTAGGACACAAAACTTAGGTGGTCAATTTTAACTACTCGTGTTTAATGAGGAATCAGATTTTTGTTTCACTGGGGGCAAGAAAAAAAAAATAAAATATTACCAAAAATGTAGATTAAAAACATGATATATATATAATGGTGGCCAAATGTATTGAGAATACTCTCATAAAATATAATAAAAAGTGTTTACATGTAAGAATACAATTAAAAGAGGATTAACAATAAATTTCTAGAGTCAATGGGTGTATTAGCCCCCACTGGACATTTAGTGGCTCTGTCATTGCAACTGTTGTCTAACATTATTATTAAAGTTTTTTTTTTTTTTTTTTTTTATGATTGGGAGTATTTGGATCAACTTATACGTACCTTAACTAATTATTTTTAGTCTTAGAACTATTAATCAGATACAAACTCTAATAATTACCCCTATTAATAATAACGAAGACTTAAAATTTAAAAAACCATGTAAACATAGATGCTCTTCTACCATAAGGTCAGCAGTGATTCATTAGTATTAAAGTTGTTACTATTTGTTTAAAGTTGTGTTAGGTCAATATCGTTTACCGAGCCGGTATTACAATGGGGGTGTTTGTCTGAGCTTATGAAAATTAGCTTATAAGCAACAATTGCTTATAAGCTAAAATTAACTTATAAGCATTTGAAATTTTAAGCAATTACGTGTTTGGTTAAAGTACTTATAAGTGACTGATAAGTAATTAACGTGTTTGGTAAAATATGGCTTATAAGTATATTTTATTATAAAATTACTAAAAAATGTATTACATTAAATAAGGGCACACTATGGAATTTTAAAATTAAATAAGGATAATGTGGTAATATACTTGATCAAACTAGCTTATAAGCACTTTGCTTATAAGCCAAAAAAAAAAAAGTTCCTCCCTCCAACTTATTTTTTTTAGTTTATAAGCTGAACTTATAAGCTCAAAAAAATTATAAACAAACAGGTCAACTTAATTTTAAAGCTTATAAATAAGTTTGACCAGCTTACAAGCTTAGACAAACACCTTCAATATCATCTGACAAAGTTAAATGAGATTTAAGACACAAGGAGAAGTAGTAAACAATAAATGGACGGTTGAGAAACTTGAATCATTGGAAAGTGAAAAAAAGTGGTTGTCAAAAAAACAAAGTGTGACTAACAAAACAAAAGAAGTAACTTTGGCTCTGCATATAATCCATCTGGTATAGCAAAAAAAGCCAACTTCTCTGTAAGTCTGACCTTGGATTTCCAACCTTCAAAGTTGCATTTCTCTCTTTGCAACAACAGATATTCTCCCCACAAACATTTTTTTTTTTTAAAACATTTTCTTACTTCACTTGTCTTCTTTTTTATTTTTATTTTTAAAAGGGTCAAGTTCTGATCTGAGATTGAGAGAGAGTGAGTAACTGGGGAAGAAAGCAGTGAACTTTGCTATTTTAGTGTAAAAAAAAATCATAAAGTTGATCCCTTCAGTTACAGGCCAAAGAAGAAGAAAATGATTGCTACTACCAGTAAGGAAGGAAAAGGTGGAGTTGGGTTTTCTTTATTCTCTCTGTTGGGGCGTGTATGAAAGAATGCAGAACTATTCACATTGTGATGCTGTATTTTTTTTTTTTTTTTTTTTTTTTTTTTTTTTTCAGTGAAGCAAATGATAACTTGAGGACTTTGGAGTGTCTGAGAGGAAGATTAATTGCAGAAAGACAAGCTTCAAGGGCTGCAAAAGATGATGCAGAACTAATGGGAATCAAGGTTTGCTTATGATTTATACTTCCTGTTCAGATTTTGTTTCTGGGGACATTTGGTTTTGTTGATTGTATGAATTGAAAGAAGAAATTTGAGATTGTTGTTTGATTTTTTGTGTTTCTGTTCCAAAACTTTTTGATGGACACAGCTGATAGAGCTGGAGAATAAACTCAAGGAAGAGAATAAATTGAGGAATAAAGCTGAAAAGAAACTGAAATTTTTGAAAAAGAAGCTTGAGTCCTTGAAGATAGCATTTACTTTGAATGAATCAGAGCAATCTAGTTCTTCAGAAAACTCTGCACATTCTTGTAAATCATCATCCACAAGCACTTCAAGCCTCAAAGGCATAGAAGAATCTGAATCCAAGTCACAGATCACAACCCCAGAAATCTCAGAATCCATTGCATCTAATCAAAGCCATGAAAGTTCTTCCATTCAAGAGAATTCGGTTTCAGAAGATCCTCCACATGAAATAGCAATACACAAATCAAGTTCAATTTGTCAAGATTCAGAGGTTGATAATCACAGGTACACTCCCATTGCACTTGCTCATTTATACTATTAATTATTAATGACTTAAGTTAATTAAAAATGAATCTTTGGTAAAATTTGGCAGCTCTGAAACCATGAAAACTTCAATGGAAGCTGGGAATGAGAGGGATAAAGAAGAAGATTATGTGGATAACTCAATGGCAATAGTTCCTGTGACTTTCCCAAAGAAATCCCAGGAGACAAATGAACTGAAGATAAGGAGTGGAAGTGCTAAAGAATCTCTTGATGCACTAAGGCTTGCCAGAGAAAGGATTCAGAATTCCATGGAAAGAGGAAGACCTATGATTAGAGTTGGCCCTTCTTAAAATTTATGCATGTAATATAATACTAATAATTTCATCTTTTAGATAATACAACACGAAGAAAGAGCTCTGTTCTTTTAGCGTTGAAGCTAAATGGCTACTAGTACTACCCCCAAGGTACACTTAAATATAGTTATGGTTTGAGTTAACATTTGGATGGTTAATTAATAAAAAGTTCGAATGATTGTGCACATCACAGAGAGCATGTGAAAGTTGTTATGTATCGTCCATTTGATGCTTAAAGTTGGGTCCCAATTTTCTGTTCTCACCCTCTTTGTTTGTTTAGTCATTGAATTTCAATAGCTCCATGTTGTTGCCATGAGTGTTGGACTCAAGGCCTCACTTGTCTACATGCCTAAGTTTGAGGGCAAAAGCCAGAAGGTAATGGCAAGCTAGCCCTCAGGCCCCTTACTGTTTAGTGCTCTTGTCAACTGCTTCTCAGCTAACCTTTAAAACTAGAAGTACTTTACTGTTAATTAGCTGTAAAATTTATTTGTATGAAGTATGATTTTTGGGTGCAAATATTCTCATCCATTAACAAATACTTAAAAACTCAAGCTTGGAGAAAGGTACCTGCTTACCACTTTACTAATTCTACTGATATACAGTTTCTGATATGTCCATTATACTTTGATTGATAGGTACCAAAATATGCTTTAGTTAACTTGGCGGTTAAGGAGATTTGTTTTCTTCCTTAAGTGTTTGGGTTCAAACCTTAAGACTACCTACCACAATAATATTGTGGTTTGCCTGGTTTTTTGAGTTTGTAGGATGTTCAATGAACTCCGAAGATTAGTTGAGGTGCACATAAGCTGGCCAAACACCCCTGATTACCCAAAAAAACAAAAACAAAAAAAAAAAAAAAAACTTATGATTAATTTGGGATTTACTAAGTGCCAAGTAATTGGTGCAGGCTCAAAAAGTGAAGCATGCTTATTGGGATATAAATAAGAATTTGGAAGTTAATAAGAGTTGTGACAGAAGACAAGCAATGCTTATTACATAACCCTAGATATATTCTCTAGGTCTCATCATGCTTTTGGCTTATTTATGCTTGGATTTTCATGCAACTTCTTCACATGCATGTTTTAGTACAAGGAGGTCTTTCAAGTTGTTCGGAGACATCGACTGGCATCACCATCTTTTGCTCCCTCTTTTTCCTATACACTTTTTATAAAGCATTTTATTTCAAAGAGTCAAGATATAAGTGGTGAAAACAAAAATTCATTTCCAGGGTAGTAATTTTTTTAGAATATATTAAAAAAATATTATCAATCTCGCTGGTTGCATATGTAATGTAATACACACTTTTCCTATCCTATCATATCTTATTCCACTATCCTATCCTAAAAACTCAAAAATGAATTTGTTTTAATATTCTTAAAATCTAATCCTATTATATTCAACTCAAAATATTTAGATTATTTTTAATCTCTTAGGATTGTTAATTTAACTAAACACATTCAATAATAAAAGTTTATAAATTGATAAAAACACCCCCACCCACCCACTCACATATTGCCAGATTTCGACCACCACCACCGAAAGGTGGCCAAAATCTGCTATAATTACGCACGACCGGCTGGATTCGGTTGGTTGTGCGCCGATATGGCTTTTTTCGGCCAGATCCACCCTAAATCTACAGTCAAAGATCTGGCTATTGACGATCAGATCTAGCCACATTAGCGGCCAAATCTGTGGCTATAGATCTGGCCTTTTCTAGCCAGATCCACGGTGGATCTGGCCGAAAAAAGGCGTGGATCTGGCTGAAAAAAGGTCAGATTGACGCACAACTGACCAGATCTAGCCAGTCGTGTACCATTCTAGCAGATTCCAACCACCTTCTGGTGATGGTGTCGAGCTTCTGACAATACGTGGGTGGGTAGGGGTGTTTTTATCAATTTATAAATTTTTGTTGTTGAGGGTATTTAGTTAAATTAAACAAACCTAGGGGATAAAAAATAATATAAATATTTTCAGAAAATGCTATTAAAAATTGTACAAAAAACTTCTCAAAATCCTATCTTATTTTTAAAAAATGCAAAATAGCATAGAATGCTATTCTAAATAACCAAGGCTTCGTTTGGTTCAAAATTTGGGGGTTTTTGGGAAATTTTCTTTGAAAAAAGTTAAAAAAAAGTTGAATTGGGCGGGTATTACGAGGTAGGATTTATAAATTACTAAAATGCCCCCTATGTTTGTTTTTTTACAAAATACCCTCTATAATAAAACATTAAAAGTTAACAAAAACACCCCTAATCCACCCTCAAATACTCCCAGCCGGCCACCACCACCGGAGGTGGCCAGAGTCGTCTTATCGGTGCATGACCGGCTGAATCTTGCCAGTCATGCGCCGCTATGGCCTTTTTCGGCTAGATCCACGGTGGATCTGGCCAGCAAAGGCCAGATCTATGGCCAGATCTGGCCGTCAACGGCTAGATCTGGCCGTCTTTGCTCTCAACGACGGCCAACAAATGGTCATCGTTGATGGTCAACGACGACCGTTTGTTGGCCGTCGTGACCGACTATTACGGACAAAGATCTGGCCGTCAACGGCCAGATCTTTGGCCTTAGATCTGGCCGAAAAAGGCTAGATCGGCGCACTACCGGCCAGATTCAGCCAGTAGTGCGCCATCCTACTAGATTTTGGCCATTTTCCGGTGGTAGTGGCCGGAATCTGGTAAATGTGGATTGTTGGGGTGTTTTTATAATTTTTTAAAAAATATTTAGGGGTATTTAATTAAATTAACAAATTTAGAGGGTTTAAAAAAAATTGAATAATATTGAAAGTAGTATTCCAAAAAATGAACCAATGGAGCCCATTGGTTTTTTTACTTGGCTTTTGGAAGCCTTGATCAACTATAATTGGGTTAGAATGAATTGTTCAAACCGTGGGTTTGGGCTCGAGAAGATATGAATGTGGGTTTAATAATGGGGTTTTGCTACGTTGTAGAAGAGTTTTTTTGCACCTGCAAAAATGAGCAAACAAGCATTAGCAAAGGTTAGCAATGGTGTTTGTCGGCGTGTCCCCTCTAATGCTCAAGTTAAGGCAGCATCTTACTGAGGTGATTGGATTCTAGGGAATAAATGCACCGTACACTCTTTAATAAGGAGAAAATGTTTTTTCTTTATGAATAGTCGTTCTTTGACAACCTTATTATTAAATCTAGGACTACCTTTTGAGGTGTGTGTAACGGTTGTCAAATTGCGTATCATATTATGTATCGAAAACCTAATTTTTTGAATCGTGTATCACGTATCGTATCATATCGTATTATATAATATATATTTTTCAAAAAAAATAATAAAATAATAAAAAATTTCTGAAAATTAATATCATTCTTAATATTAATTAACGGATTTTATGGTATTATTGATTTTAAATTATGGTATTACATAATTAAAATTAATCACAAAATTAAGAATCTATATCATTTTTTCTTAACCATTCATATCATTTCCAACATCAATGTTAATATTTATATCTCCACTTATGTTATTATTATCATACAAAATAGGCAACACATCTTTCTCTTTACTTTCACTACGCAAAATGGGTAAATTTGGGCAAATTTTAGTGAATCGGGTTAGGTGACCCAGATCCGACCCGAATTTTTTTTTGGGCCTTTAGCCCAAATTAATAAAGTCGTATCGATTTGTATTGATATTTTTAAAAAATACGAACGGATACATATCATATCGTAAGGTACATATCAACGTATCGAAAGATTTAATATATACTCTCTGATACATATCATTGGTGAATCGTATCGTAAGTTACGTATCATATATTATAGGATACTAATAACCATTCTTTTTATTTCTATACAACGTGATTTGAGAGCTACACGTGTCTGTTATCTGGTTGTGGCCTTCAGTGTTATTTTCTAAATTAGGGCAGGACCACTACCTTGTTATTTCCGAGTCTAAAGAGGCAAAGACTGCCAGTTTCGTGAGAAGCTTTTCAGAATTTAGCTTTAGAGGCTCATCAGCTATGAGATATGTGTCGTTAAGGGAACTTAGGTTGATAACCTCTGTAACAAATTTTATGATTTAAGATATATTTTTATTTTGAAAGAAAAAAAAAAATACAATACAATACCATCGTAATAAGTTGAATTTACAAAAAGTAAATATAATATAAAGTTATTATGATTCATGATTCCTACCAACTTCCATTGTTATCTCTAGTGTGGAGGGTGGACTATTGTGAACCCAGGGCCAGCGAGCATTGTCAAATGAATGGGCCTTGGAATGTCATTGAAGATTACCACAAAATCTTCTAAAAACATTCATATTTTCAAAGCATGGCAAAGGACATCCTTCAAAAATATTGAGATGTATTTTCAAGTTATAGCTTCTGCAATTCAATAAGGAGGGTCCCAACCCAACCTGTCTTCGATGTGAGGTAAGTGAGATTGGATTTTCCTGGACCAAATACATCATTCATCCTGCCAAGTTTCATGGGCTAAAGTTGGATTCTCTCAGTCCCTACTTCAGAGTAATTAAGTGACAATGGAGGTATTTATCATTTCATTTCAAGTAGCAAAGTGGGCATTTGGAGCAAAAGATTAGCACCAACAAAGTTACTTTCTTAAAAGATGTAAAATACAGTGTGGCCTCAATTTTCTTTTCTTTACATATGTTAGGTAAAGTTAATATAAGATGCTACCCTATTTTCTTTGATATATGAGTTGAAAGTTTAAACTCTCAAATCACTCTTCACTCTTTAGCCAGAGTTAGGTTTTTGTTTCTTTTGTTTGTTATGTATCTAAAATTGAAAAAAAAAAAAAATGTGACCCCACTGGGAAAACTTCCAAAAGAGTTGGAGATCATGAAATTGAAAGGCCATCCCCTGTAACTAAGATAGATATCTCAGTACTGCAGGAAATGATCATATTCTTGTAGCCATCGATCTATCCCAATGAGTTAACACTTGATCCAAAGCGATAACGCTCCTGAATCTGATGAGTGGGTAGGCATGTTTTTTTATTGTGGGAATGGATGGTACTGGAAACAAGCCAACAGACCCGGTTGGTGAAACATGGCAGTATGTTGAGTTGTAGTGCATGTACCAAAAAACTTGGTCACTCTTCACCAGCACACAGGGCCCAGTTGCGACCCCATTTCATGTTTAAGTTATAACTCTTGGCCATGCATTGGCTCACTTTCGTGGAGCATGCAGCAGTTCTTGCTGTTTAATTGGTAAGTCAATCGCAAAATTTAGCTCAGTGAAGTTTTCAATGTGTTGAGGAGTGTGTAACAAAAAGGCTATAAATTTAGTGAAAAAGGATGCAAAAGAGGAGGAAAGAGTCTAAGTAGAAACTTGAAATGACCGTGAAAAGAGGATAAGATAAGTGGTGTGTCTTAAGCTCCTAAATCCATGGAAAAGTATGTTTTGTTTTCAGATTAAGGAGAAAAACACAGAAAATGAGAATTAAGATGACCAAAAGCTGCCTAAAATGGTGGGTTATTGCTAATAAAAGTTGAGAAAAACAAAATCTCAGCCATGGAATTGAAAAGCTTAGAGGAACTCACTTGGTCACAAAGACATAAAAAACAAGAAAAAGAAGAACAAAAAATGTCAGAGTTTGTAATTAAAATCTCTTTATTTCCCATCTTGGATCTCATCTGACAAGAAGCTGAAGATCTTCTGCCACATAACTCCAAACCCTTTTCTTATCCATTGCTCCCCTTGATCTCTCTGATCTCAGACCAAACCGTGTCTTATATCAAATCTTTATGTTCTTTTACAGCTAAGTCTGTTCCTTTTATGATGGCACAGAGGGAAGGACCAAACACATTTTAACCCAGATTCAAGGTACACACGTCCCTATTCTCTGAATTCAAATAAAAACTATTGCCTTCTTGTCTCTAGATACACTTTTCACTTCATTTAGCCCATACCCTTTTGGTCTTCTTCTGAGAATTGTACTTATTAATCAGTGTCTGGGTTTAGGGGGTATATATTTTCAAGTATTGTGGTTGTGACTTCCAAGTCAAAACATAAACTTGGACCTTAGATTGAGTGTGTTCTTGTTTCTTTTTTCTTTTAAGTTTTGATGAACATTTGGATGATGTAATTCTGAATTATATGTTATCATAAGATGTCAAGTGAATACTTGAAAATGGTTAAACCTTGTTGGAAATCATCTTTTGAAGATGAAAATAGCGGTCGTGTTGATGGTTTGTTGTGGTATAAGGATTTGGGACAACATGTTTATGGTGAATTCTCAATGGCTATGATGCAAGCCAATAGTGTATTGGAGGATCAAAGCCAACTGGAATCAGGGCCATTGGGCTCAAGAAATTCTGGTCCTCATGGAACGTTTGTCGGAGTATACGATGGACATGGAGGACCTGAGACTGCAAGATTTATCAATGACAACCTTTTCCGCAATCTTACGAGTATGTTGAGGTTCCCTCTTGATTGCTTTCGCTATTTCTTCAACTTGATAAAGTTTAATAACTCTAATGCTTTTATTCAACGATTTTTGCATTGAGTTGACAACTACATATCCCAAACAAACTTCCCGTGTGGTATTTTATTCTTTGATCATGAAGTTTGAATAGTTAGTGCTTTCAGTTCCTAAGAATTTTTCTATCCTTTCTCAAATTAGATGATAAAGTACCTATTAACTCGTCTTTCTGATTCCATCAATGCAGGGTTTGCATCTGAGCACTGTGAGATATCAGAAAATGTTATAAGAATGGCTTTCTCAGCAACTGAAGAGGGATTTCTCAGCCTGGTGAGGAAACAGTGGCTCAGTAAGCCACAGATGGCATCAGTGGGATCATGTTGTTTGGTGGGGTTGATATGCAATGGATTGTTATATATAGCGAATGTTGGAGATTCTAGAGCTGTATTAGGGAAAGCTAAAAGGAGCACCAGGGAAGTTTCTGCTATACAAGTATCCATGGAGCACAATGCAAATATAGATTCTGTGAGAGATGAGCTTCGGTCATTGCATCCCAATGATTCACAAATTGTTGTGTTGAAGCACAAAGTGTGGCGTGTGAAGGGCATCATACAGGTAATTTTATTGCTCCTAACAGTAAGGATTTAGTGTCAAAAAGCTGCATTGAATACTGATTAGCTAAAGTTCATTGCATTAGCACTTGTTAACAATCAGGTTTCTCCTTGTCTTTGCAGGTTTCAAGATCCATTGGCGACGCATATCTAAAGAAGGCAGAGTTCAACAGAGAGCCTTTAGCATGTAAGTTTAGATTGCCAGAATCATTCAACAAGCCAATCCTTAGCGCAGAGCCATCGATATTAGTACACAAACTTGACCCAGAAGATCAGTTTCTCATATTTGCTTCTGATGGTCTATGGGAGCATCTTAGCAATGAGGAGGCTGTCAACATTGTCCATAACTATCCACGGAATGTAAGTTCACTTTCTCTCTGCAACTATACGACTCATTCATTTCTGTAGTCACTATTGCTATAGGAACGCTCTGATAATTGTTATAGCGATGGCTTAAACATGTAGATCGATATACCATTTCAAAAGCTAAGCTACAGCCTTGACAAAATAATCTGTCAACTCTGATGCAGGGAATTGCGAGGAGACTGGTTAAAGCTGCACTAAAAGTAGCAGCGAAGAAAAGAGAAATGAGGTACTCAGACCTGAAAAAGATTGGTGGAGGGGTGAGAAGACATTTTCACGACGATATCACAGTGATAGTTGTATATCTAGATCCCAATTTGATTGATAGGAGCTTCAACTGCAGCTCACCCTTTTCAATAAGAGGAGGCCTCAATAACTCATTCTCTGCAAACTTCTAGAGTTGCATATGATGGAATCTATTTACAATTTACTAGGAGATTAGTTGCTTTATCTTACACTTCCGTGAGTTAGTTTACTTTCCATTAGGAGCTTAAATAGTTGCATTGGAACAACAGTTCTCTTCTTCCTGGAGAAGAAGCATGAGATATATAAGGTGGAGAACTGATCAAATACGAAGCTTATAGTTGTTGAGATCTGTGTAGATATAAGTTTCTTTTGCATCATCTGAAGCTGTAGCTTAATGCATTTTTATGATCGATCCCATGTTTAAGTTATCTCTAAGGCTGTGAACTTTGATGTAATATTAACTTAAAATCATTTCGCACTCGCAATGCGTTACTGTAATATCAATTTCATTACCTAGACTCCATTGTTCTTCCATTTCCGCATATAAATATAACATCTCTAGACCAACAAACTCTTGCATTCCAACGTAATAAAATTTTGCAAAGCCTGTGATTTCCACTAGTAAATGTAACCCAGGAATTTAAAAAACTAGAGGATGCTGTTCAAGTGTAATTAAGTCATTACATTAAATGAATAATTATATAATAAAAAATTCTGAAACTGACAATCACACTTCCCGTCCCAGTGATCACAACTTAAAAATTTTCTATTCCAACAAACACACCCCCTCACCCTCACCACCTTACCAACCTCTTCTATTGGTCTTTATAATATCTCATGTAAGATTTGATGGGTAAACGGGCTTTGATTGTTAAGTGTCGGGTTGGTGATGGACCATTCAATGGTGAAACTTGTTGTTTGGTAAAAGCATGAAAGCAAATTTACACGTAGATGGCTTGTGAGTGGTTGATTCGTTATTTGATGGGTGTTTCTGCCATCAATTGTTAATTTATTGTTTGATAAAGAGAATTAAAACCCAAACAGAGGAGGAAGCGAAGCTTATAACCATTAAGATTGCGAGAGATTATTATGTGATTTGCTGTTGCTATGTGGGAAAGAAGATGAAGTATAAGGGTTACTTCATTCTTTGTTTAAGATTATGGATATGTTTAATAGTTTTTGACAATGTTTTAATAACTCGGCAAAGCTGTCTGGTCCTAGGTTAACCGATTTTGATAGGTCAGTCAAATTGGGTATCCAAAAGTTTAAAATTTAACAAATACACCTATAATTAAGTCTCTCCAGTTTTGAAATTTAACAAACACATCCCAAATACAAATCTGCAATCCACTGGTTGGCAACAGCGACATGACAATGCAATCCCAATCATCCCCTGAGTCATTCCCCAGAAAATCTACCCAAGAACTGACCTAAATCGGTCCGACCAAATCTCACCACCATAGGCATCAACAACCATTTCCATCACTACGAAAATACTCCCCTCAACCTTCTGACTAAAACCCACCTTACTCCACCCCCATTCGTCTTGTCAATCGTTGGCAAAAACCGATTGTTGCCACCACAGGTTTTTTCAATTTTCCGATCGATTTATTCACCAGAAATCACCTCCATTGGTTGTCGCCACCATTGCACTTATCACGACATCCTAACTTTTAATTATTCACCAATTATTGTCCCAATTTTTAGGATTTATGATGAATAGGAAAATTGATAACCCGACCCAATGAAAGCCCCAAGTCCCAATTGAACCGGTTCAATGGATCGGGCCAGACAAAACCAGATTTTAAAACAATGGTTTTTGAAACATTTGGGTTGAAGATAAAGGACGAAAACCACAAGGGGAAAGTAATTTTTATCCCTCCATTATCTTAAGTTCTTAACTTCAACAGGATATTGGTATCGAAATCATTGCATTTGAAGAAGGGAATCAGAACAAGAATAGCCAAATGTTTACTTGTATACGAGTAAAATGTAGTGTACTGCATGAGTTGACTGATTCCGAGAAGAAATTATCTAGCTTTGCTCTAACACCATTAATCAATTATTCTTGCTCCCATATACGAGCATATGGCATTTGATATTTAAGCTAGTGCATAACACCATGCATCACAATTCCTTAATAAACAAGCATACATGTAGAAAAAGAAATAGTTGATTCCCTCAGATATGTTAGTAAATCCAACAGTTCCATAATATCTAACTAAAAATACATCATGAATATCCATACAAGCTGGATGTTCCTAAATTTTACAATAAATTTCAAAAAAACGAAAAGAAAATCAAAAAAAAAAGGAATACTACATTACCAAACAAAACAAACCCAGTTATCATTAAACAACTCCACTCTCAGCATCCTACCTTGTAGATCGGTCAATTCACTCAGCGAAACCAAAGAAAATCAACAAGCACCTTCCAAATTTTTACTTGTCTTAAAACAAGAAAGAAAAATCAGAATTCTGAAGTACTAGACTGACAATTTTTTTCCGCCTTGGGAATTAAACAGGAAAATCTTTAGTTCTTTTTCAATCAAAAGTAGTAGAAGAAAAGAAAAGTAACCAACACATTTCAATAACTACATTCCTACAAGGTTTTCCATCTGGCAGCCTTCCTTCAAATCAATTGAAACCCATTAAACACCTCTGATGTTCACTTAATAGGAAAACAGTAGTTAATAGATATGCCTTCTATGTCTCTCCCGATCCAATATAACAACCATAGCACTGATAATGTCGCATCAAAATATAGATCACAGCAGCTAGAACCAATCATTCAGCCATGATTAGCAGCAGTAAGCGCATGACATGGAACCCAATGAAAAAAAAAAAAAAAAAAAAAGGCTTCATTCTTCCCTTCTTCATCATACAAGTTTTTTGATGAAATTCCTGCTTGAAAGTGATTCATAGAAGAGAGAGCCTAATTGATAATCTACAGCTAAGACGACAAAAAAAAAAAAAAATGCATTACAGAAACTTCATTACCATAACCTCTCTTAATAATATACTGGTCTAGAAACAACAAGCAGGCTATACTTGTAAACACGAATTGTAAGCATAACGACTGACCCTAGATCCTATTTATCAGAACACTCACCAAGAATAACTCCATATGCAATGACCAAATGAAACTAAATTACATGTCAAGTCAGTCAAACCTAGCTTACCTCATAAATGCTACATTCTTTAATTCAGTTGAGGAAAGCAACTACATGGTCCCTAATTCATAATAAAGCAAGATAGTATATTTAGAACCTCATATCATAGGATCAAAAGATGTCAACCCCATAATGCCACTCATATGCCTGATTCCCACAAGATCCAAGAAACCCACTTCACAGGGATATCAGTGATCGGACACGTCAAATATATATTAAAGGAAGGCTGCCAAACTTAACCAACTTGTAATTTATTCAAATTACACACCTTTTTTTTTTTTTTTTTTTTAAAGGGAAAAGAGAATGACCAAAAACAGAAGAAAGTCCCCAAGTCCGTACTTCAGAATTTCTGGTATTCTTAGCAGATTTTAAGATAAGTAAATAGCAGAGGTAGATGTTGATTACTCTAGGTCTCAGCAGGCAAATTGATATTATAGTTGACTTATATGAGAGAAAGCTAACACAAAATCTTGTTTAACTGCCCTGCAGAAATTTATCAAAGGATGTAGTAATGCAACTGGGAAGTAGACATAGGTACAAAAGCCGCTGAGGGAATCACTGGAAGTTAGAAACCTAGACCTGCAATGAAAATTAAAAAGAGAAAAATTATAGCAGTTCATATAAAATACACAACTAGATGTTCATATGCTAGACCCACCCACCCACACATATCGGAAGCCATATCATTCAAAAATTGAAATGATAGATCAGCAAAATTATCAGTACAGTAAATGCCAATGCAAAATGCTACACAAGCTTTCTCAAACATACCTTTAACATGCAAATTTGTAAGATATTTTTTAGGTCCCTCCACCAGCATTGCCAGCAATAGCTGCCTTCTGAAATATAGAACGACTGAAATATTAGTATATCCACACTTCAAAAAGCAAAACTACCTGGTTCAAAGAGTTTGCATGAAACAGTACACACAAAGAAGGCCTTACTGGTTCAATATTTCCCTGGCCATTTACTTGTGACAGAGAACTGGATGGAGTTCCTGAGAAACTGCAGAAAGAATGGCACTATTAGTTCTAACTTCCAGCAAACATAAATCCCTTACTGTAGCAATAAAGACAGTTATAAAACATTAATGAAATGTGATGAGACCAAGAGAGCGCTGGTGTATGATAGGAGAAACAAGGTACTAAAGTAGTGGATTGAAGGGAAGCTGGCAGGAAATTTCTATTAGCATGAGGAGTTAAGGTTAGTTTTAGGCTGGGACAGGTGGCAATGATTGGCTGGACAGAAGAGGGATTTAGTTATTGAGAGAGAGAGCAGGAGAATAAAAGAAGAAAATGAGATTAGAATGTTTATCAGAGAAGAAAATTGGGAGGAGCTACCCCTCGAAGTCTAGTATTTAGGGAGGAGCTACCCCTCGAAGTCTAGTATTTAGGGAGGAGCTGGCCCTCGAAGTCCAGCACTATCTTGGGTTCTTTTGTTTGAGTTTTTGCTGTTAATTTGATTGTGTTGTTGGGTAGTATTTGCTAGTTTATTTTTCTGTGTAATTTGTTTGCCGGAATATCAATACAAGTGCCTCTTATTTTCTGGGTTTTGGCTACTGTTTACCGCTATTTTTCTGGGTTTCTCTTGATTGTTGCTTGCTGTTCGTATTTCGGTTGGTTGAGTTGGGAGAGGTTTCTATCAAAATGATATACCAATAGAAAAGGAGACAAACATTATCTCATAGTAATAACATACCGAAGTGCCCTTGCTTTTCTTTTCTCTTCCTCCAGAGAGTCTGGTTTGGAATATGGTGCAAATCTGGCAAGCCTAGCTTTCTTTTTTTCCTCCTGGTCACCAGCTGAAGTTGGCACAGGAAGCCCAAACCTGAAAAACCAACAAACAGGATTAGCAAATAAGTAAAAAATGAAAAATGTTTGCTGAAATTCAACTTCTTCCACCGCATAAATATAGCTTAGAACAAGACCTCTCTGCTCTAGCCTTTCTCTTCAGCTCCTCAGATGTTTTTGACACTTCTGGTGCACTTGTTTTGGTTGCAGTTCCAAACCTACAACACCAACACAAACTTGAGTAGCTTAGTAGAAGAACAGGAAAAGAAAAGGTTGCGACAATCAAACAAATTCAACAACACTTAATACTATTTTTGATACTTCCTTCCTCTCCTTTAATCAATAAGATGGAAAACGACGAGAATTGACTCTTTCCACCATTATGTATTAATTTGACCCTATGCATTTGGAAGTTAAAGTTGAATTATTTATATTTGCAACTATTATACAGTATAAAAATAAAACTACAAAATAATTCTATCCACAAATATGATTGGTGAGGGAAAACCAAAAACCCTACCCAGGCATCATCCGGTTCAATGTTGGGGGAGAACAACATGAACAGTTCAACCGTTCAAAATATAAGCGACACTCACAATCCCGAAGTTGAATCAGAAATTTTATCAGTTATGGAAATAAATTATCCATGGTCTGCATTAAGAACATAGCTAAATGGGCAAAATAGTAAAGCATTTAAGCATAATTGTTCCTCTAAAATTATATTCATTTGTAAAGACCCACGTCATTCTCATTAAGTCGTAATTCTTTTGGCAGTTAAACGAACCACTAAGCAAAACATCCACTCAAATCAACAATCAACTAATAACAAAATTACGCAAAAGTTAACAAACCCTAATTTCTTACCTTTCAGCTCGAGAATTACGCTTCTCTTGCTCAGACAACTGTACAGGCATACCGAAACGCTCAGCTCGGCGGATCTTCTTCAGAGTATCAGTGCCCGGAGCGACATCCCCTGATACGGGAGACACGGCAGCGACGGCTGTCGTCTTGGAATCCTCACCGTCCTTCTTAAGCCCGACGGTGGTAGCGGTGGACGATGGCGCGGCGGTAGGGTTTTGGACAAGATCTGTGGTGTCCACGGTGTTTTTAGGGTTTTCCTCCACCGAGGATGGTGAGGCGGTGGTGGTGTTGTTGACGGTGGTGAGTTTGTCTGTGTCGGTTGCCATCGAATTGGTGAGAGAAATGTATAGCGTGAAGAGTACGAAGGAAAAGCCGAGAGAGGTAAGAGGAGATGAAAAGAGAATATGTTGAAGGGTTTGGGTGAGAAAGAAAATAAAAGGGAAAGGTTTGAGTATGATTATCTCAATGGAAGCGGTGTGATTCGATTCCTTTCTTGATATTTGTTCTCATCATGATGTAGCCTATTTTTATCCCCTCCTCCACGACTTTTATTATTAAAATATCTCTAAATAAAATTGTAAGAATTTCATTTTGATTTATTTTTCACAAAAATATTATTTGTTTTAAATCAAATTCTCCAAACTAAAACGTATTAAAACCAAATTCAACAATTTTTCATTATGATTGAGGGTATTTAGGTCAGCTTACATACACCTAAACTAATCTTCGAGACTAGAGTAGATACCATATTAACAACAGAGGAGAGACTCAAACTCAAAACTTATTAAATAATATGTCCAAGAGTCACTATCAACACACTTAACTATATAGAGATAGATAAAAATTAGAATATTCTTAACCACTAAGAAGTAGTTGCAAATTCGACTATTGATGGTTAG